ATAGCAAATATATATATTATACATGTGCGTATAAATGTGTATGAAACTTACATAAACAATAATACTAATTAATTTAACGATTAATTGCACCCAAAACAAATACATAATTATTTAAATAAATAAACAAAAACCAAAAAAAAAGAATATATTTACATGTTTACAGTTATTACTTGCCAACCACTTCAATTAAAATTTAATGTAAAGAGAATGCCTAGAGATGATGTAGGTACATCGATTGCGTGCAACTATCGATTAGAAAGGATATTTTTTGGGATTTTCGCAGAAGTGTACCCAAAATAAAGGTAAACATTTCATATATAGCTATAAGTCCCGATAGCCGCTATTTCTCACCTAGTGGGAAAATAGCCAAAGGGGAAATAACTATGAGCTCCCTACTCAACTTCAAATATCCTGGGGTCCTTTAATTATGTTGTATGTTTGTGGGAGTAGGCAAATCAAAGTCTCTATTCTATATGTGTATATAAACAAATTTATATTTTGTAAATCAAAATTTCAAATTTCAGCTACTTCTCAAACGCATAAACAAAAGTCTATCCCTATATATATACTTATATATCTATGCCGTGTTACATATTTCTATATATTTTATGACGAATCACGAATATGACATGGTCTGGATACACTATAAATTGGTGCGGAAACCGAAAAATGAGGGCGAAGGCGTCATTATGAACGTCGGCATCTTGGCCAAGCTCTACAGACAGGCGCGTATGGCCATCATGGAGGTAAATATTTACATATACATAGATAAACACATTTCATTCATACAATAAAATTCATAGTTTCTGTTTATTTAAGAACATATTAGCAAAAATGTTGAACCATTAATCAATTACACTTTGTAGTCGGACTAGTTTATAAGGTAAAGCCAAGAACAGTATAAGTTATATGTAGACATTTAGATACTTATAATTCTTATATACTATGTGATGGAGATCTACAATAGTTTCTCGATATCCTTGGCTATGTCCATGGGATCGGTAGTGGGTGCATACCGATTGATTGGAACGCCTTCCCTGTTCACCAGGAATTTGGTGAAGTTCCATTTGATGCCGCTGCCCAAGGTGCCAGATTGCTTGGCCTTCAAGTACTTATACAAAGGCGCTGCATTATCGCCATTCACATCAATCTATAAGCAAAATAGAAAACTCAATTACCATACTTCAATTTATATATATATTTGAACATACCTTGGCAAAGACTTCGCCAATGTCTGCTTTAGAGTCACGAAGATGACAGACCATGGCCTCCCCATCGGCCTCAGGCATCTGGGAGCCAAATTGATTGCATGGGAAGTTCAGGATGGTCAGCCCGCGTTCGCCATACTTCTCCTTCAGATCGGTCAACTTCTTGTAGTTATTTTTAGTTAAACCACACTTTGAAGCAATATTGACGATGAGGATAACCTGGCCCTTATACTTTTCCAGGGAGACATCGTTTCCATGGGTGTCCTTCACGCTGAACTCGTAGATCGAGGCTGCGTTCTTGTAATCACCGTCCGACATGTCGACCTTGAAGAGAGTTCGAAAGGGTTTTATAATTGATCGAGGGAAAGCAGAATAGTAGGCAAAGCAACATAATTTAGCTGAAGACCAACGGCAAGCAACAATAAAACGACGCAGACAAAATTAGTTGGACTTATCTACTCTAGTTATTAGTGCACCAAACAACTAACTAGCTACTCACGGCAGCTGCTGTGGAGTAATGTGACTTCGTAGCTAAATCCGTACTGCACTCAACATTGCCGGCAACCGCAAACAATGGCAAAAGGACAGCGCAATAACGCGGACATTTATTTACTGATATTGCAGCTATACCGAAATTACGATTTGTTGTTCTTGTTGTAGATAATTGGAAGCACCGGAATGCCTGTCGTGAAACGCTTTGCATGTGCCTGATATACATATTTAATAGGAAGCGAGAGAGATGGCTGCAAATAATGACGAATAATACACAATTATCTATTATAACTCAATCAGTCAATTACGAACAGGCATTTAGTATCAGTGCTGAGAATTTCAGTAAAAATGAGCTAGTTCACTTAGGTAGCAATAAATTCCGATCAATGTTTAATAATATATGCCAAAATTGAATGAGTAACGATGATAACAAATTTTTCGAATTCTAGCAAGCTCATTCGATAGATCTTATCTTTGAATAGATAAGCCATATCAATTTAATAAATCGTTAAGCGGTTAATAGCAAATAAAAGCATGTTCTTGAAATAAATCCAGATTTTTATGGCAATAAATCATTTGTCAACACTGTAAAGAACTAGCTCAGCGGGTGAACATTTTGTCCAAATGCATAACTCTTGAAGGTCACAGAAATCGAAATTACGAATGACTCATCCATTCATATGTTGCAGTAGAGAGATGCAGAGTATCATGAGAAATGCGCTGATTAGATAAAACATTAGTACCCCACACGATATTTTGTTGTGCATGCATACAAACTTGTAGCGAGCTTAAACTGTTTTTATATGTAGTTCATGGAGTTGAAGTTGTAATTACTTGATTCGTGAAGTAGATGTAGGTGCCCACGGCAGCAGCCAGTGCACCAAACATAAGGGATACCAGCGAACGACCAGCCATTTTCTTTAAATTACAGATGCACAAGTTAAAAATGACTGATCTGTGTATATGGAGATATATCCCAGCTATGCACTATACTTATGCCAATAAGAATCTGCAAGCTCATGCTGATATGCACGAGGGGTACAAAGTACAACTGGTAATAAATGGAACCAGCTGTGTGCCCTTTCGCCACGCAATTTTTCTCAAATGGAATTTGCTACACTTCACAATTGATTAACAATTATTAATAGATAATATCGCTTACTTATTTCGTAATCGTGTTGTTTTGGGGATCAAATCTAAACTGCTGCCGGCACTGTTTTGATGCACAAATAAATACCTGCTGGGGGAGGCAGCGGGCGTAATCTTAGTATATCGATATTGCTATCGAGGTGTGTATATCGATATGTTTGTCTACTTGGTATTAAAATGGCATTCCAAGTTGGTCACACTATGAAAATTTTCTTCTTTTGTGCTTCAGTTTTGTGGATAGTTTGTTGAAGAATTATGTTTGCAACATTTACGAAGAAATGCAGTGCTTAACGCACAATAGTATGCGCGCTTTTGGCAAAGTGTAGTGATAAAAGGGCGCGCCCTTGCAGTTGTACTGCCAAACAAGGATACACATTTCTAATCACACATACAAATACACGTACAGACACATTCACAATATACATACATAMMCACACACACGCACATTTGTTGTAGATTGTCCGGAAGAACGAATAAACAGCCTCTAAATGATGCTTTCATCTATAAACAACTCGTTCGAGCAGGATACTCACGACGTGGACGCCAATTGCGATGGCCCCGATCTAGATTTCGTTTACGCCGATGTGGATAGCTATCAAAATGAGATCGCCGAACTTTACAGCTACACTGAGTTCAGTGAATTCCAAATGAATGTTAAGGCATTCGAGGACCAAATGGAACTATATGATTTGCCACCGAATTGGCAGAAACAGGACGCGAGCTCGCAACGCAGCATTGTGATGAAACTAATGGATCAATTGGAAGTCTCCGATCGTTCCTTCCGCATGCAGGCGGCTCGGTGCATTCTCTATCTGGCTCAAGGCTGTTGGGCCGAAGTGCAATCCGACGAGGAACAGCATCAGAATACTCGCGACAATGTCATCGTACTCTATCAGCTGGGCGTGTTCTCCTCGTTTATTGATTTGCTCAACATGGAGATCGAAACAGCATGCTCTCCAGATATTGTGGCAGTGAAGATAACAAATGTGACACTAGTTGATTCCACTGATATCCGAGTCATACTCTCAGTACTGTACATCATAACGGAGACAATACGCGATGAACGGGAGAAAGGCAGCGAGGACTACAAGCAGCTGGCCGAGTCATTCGTGCAGGAGATCAACAGCCCACTGCCCGATGGGGAGCTGCTCGCCGTCAAATTGCTGGGCATGATCACGCGCTTTTGCAGTGGTGCTGCACCACAGTTTCCCATGAAAAAGGTTGTTCTGCTGCTGTGGAAGGTTTCCCTTCTGGGACTTGGAGGCATGGATGTGCTGAAGAATCTCAAGAATGAGTACAGAGCGAAGGTCGGGCTGGATCCGATCACCGAGGACACACTGGAGGTGACCAAATGCATGCGTGCGAGTTCGCCGCCCGCAACAGCAACGGATATATTAGAGAATCAATATCCGAAAAGGAACTTCAAGTAGGTTTACCTTAATATTAATATATAGTTACCTTTTATTGATTCATGAATGTCTTCTAAATAGGCGCTCACTGATGAAGCAGCGCTTTTTGGACGAACCAGAGCAAATCGACATGGAGATGTCTGGCAATGAGGGTGGAACGAATGCCAACAATGGAAATTCAAGTGCAGGAAGCGGGTCTGGCAATGGCGAAGACGAGCTCTCCCAATACTATCGGCCTTTTGACGATCCCTCCGCTTCCACCTCGGGCAACAGCAACAACAGCACTGCATCAGCTAATCCAAACAATCAACCAAGTAACATGCAACCGCCAGTCACAGTGCCGGCTGTGCAGATAACGCCGCGTTTGCCATGGACACCGAAGGTGCGCCAGAAGGATATCGATCAATTCCTGGATATATCGCGCAACAAGTTCATTGGCTACTCTTTGATTGGCGATCACGAGAGTCTAGCAGGTCTGCCGCAGCCCATTCATGAGGGATTCAAGACGCTGCAGCGTCACATGTACGTGAGTTTGGCCGATGTGCAGATCAAGAAGGAGGAGGACATCGCACGTAATCCAATTTCAACGCACGAGGATGAAATCAAGCTGACACCAGCCGAGATACTCTACCAAGCGATACTACCAAATTTGCCACAGTATATGATTGCGCTATTAAAGGTCTTGCTGGCCGCTTCGCCCACATCCAAGTCGAAGACCGAGAGCATCAACATCATGGCCGATGTGTTGCCGAAGAAGATGCCGCTGACGGCTACACAGTCAACGAAGTTGACCGTCGACATGGGACGCCACAAGGAGATCATCGTGAAGGCTGTATCCGCTATAATACTGCTCTATCTGAAGCATTTCAAGATTAACCATGTCTACCAGTTCGAGTTCATGTCGCAGCATTTGGTTTTCGCCAATTGCATTCCGTTGGTGCTGAAATTCTTCAACCAGACCATTACAGAGTATGTGAACACGAAGAATTCGATACCATTGCTGGACTTTCCGTCGTGTGTGATTGGCGAACAGCCGGACCTAAGTGGAGATAGCTTCGTTTATGGCGGCGAGATGTCTGACAAGCCCTACTCCTGGCGCAATGTCTTCTCCTGCATCAATCTGCTGCGCATACTCAACAAGCTGATCAAGTGGAAGCACTCGCGCGTTATGATGCTAGTCGTGTTCAAGTCGGCGCCCATATTGAAGAAGACGCTCAAGGTGCGACACGCGATGATGCAGCTGTATGTGCTGAAGCTATTGAAGATGCAGACCAAGTACTTGGGTCGCCAGTGGCGCAAATCCAACATGAAGACTCTGAGTGCCATCTATGCGAAGGTGCGGCATCGTCTCAACGATGATTGGGCCTTTGGCAATGATCTCGAGTCGCGACCCTGGGACTTTCAGGCGGAGGAGTGCACGCTGCGCGCTTGCGTCGATCGCTTCAATTTGCGTCGTTACCCGGAAGCGACGCAAAAGTGCGGCGCCGGTGGCGGCGTCGGCAGCGGCAACAACGGGACGGCCGCACAGAATGCCGAGAATGCGCAGCAGTCGAACATGCACGCGGGCAATGGCAGTGGGGATCGAGATTCCAATGGCTATGGCAACAATGGGAGCAGCGGTGGGGGCGGAGTTGGCAACAATAGCAGCGGCCAACAGAATCAACAGCTGCACGATTATGGCGTCGAAGGTGGCTTTCCCAGCGATGAGATACTCACGCATTCAGATTTTGCATTCTTTGGCCATTCCGGCTGGTGGGATCGCAAGGTGGAGCTAACTGATTACTTTAAGGCCAACTATGCCGTTTGGCTAGAGGAGGAGGTATACAATAGTCAAACCGACTGGGATGCGCTTTAAGGTGCGTTGGCCTAGATTAAGAATTCCAATAAATAAATGATTGACTTCAGACTAAATGCGATTTTCGCTTGTTTCCTTGCAGCTGCCATTTGGGACTTGCAGCGTGACCCGCATATTTAAGAATAAAGTTATTAACATACTTCTAAGCATATATAGTTGACAAATTGATATAATCGAATCCAAGCCGTAGTCGGCACCAACTAAACTACTCATTCAAACCCATTGGCAATAAATTCGTGCATGCAGAGCTAATCAAACCCTTCGAGAAAGTACTGTATATTTATGATAATCGTACATGCTACTTAACACGATATATATATATCCATATATATATAATGTATTTATTTTTTCAAAATTTGTGTTCCGAGGCACGCACTCAACCCGTTAATAAGTTCCCCCCACACATTAAAGAGCTCCATGTGAGCGCAAAATGAATGCAATACAAAAAATAAAAATTAATTAAATAAAACAAATCTTAACAAAATCAGGGTTTCGTTGCCTTCTTTTCCAGGTGTAAATATATAGCGTATATTTAATTCGGTGTGTTTTGTTTCGCACAAGAAAAAAAATTACTAGAGCTTTAGTTTTAGTTTCTGAAGAGGTCCATAATCTTATACAATTACATGATACATTATAATATTTACAGTTGAGGCTAAACTTTTCATTTCAGGATCTAAATAATATAATATGTATATAATATATTGAATTTCATTCATGTGATTTCTATATAGTAGTATATACTATATCTATAGATATATTAGTTAGCACAGCTAAATATATATTCCTGAACCTTTTATTTTCAACATTTTTACTTTTTGTTCACAAACCCGTTTTAGACTCTATAGAGAATGTGTCCATATGCTTAGAACTACTGGAAAACAACTAAATACAAAACTAAATAGAATTCTATAGACTTTAAATGTACATGATTTAACGTGTAATCCTTCAATCTATCTCCCGTCTTTGGAAACGTTTAAGACCACCCTCTTCGATTCGCTTAAGCCCAGTGCCTGCTGGTTACTGCTCCATGGGACACGCGGTGTGCAGATGATTATTATTGCTGGATGCTGAGGCCATGTAGAGCATGCCGAAACGCTTCTGCTGGGGCGGACAGGCGATCGGCGAGGCGGTGGGCACATCGCAGCGTTCCTCGAAATAGTGCACAATGCGCTGGAGCACGAACTTGAAGATCTTCTCCTTGCTGATCTCGCCGTTGAGGAACGTGATGTCCTTGCAGTCGCGGTACTCGGCAAAGTTCTTCTCGTAGTGCGGCCAAACACACAGCTCGAAATAGCCCGTCACATCGGGCGGATCATAGGTGCGCTGCATGCGACGCTGATAACACTTCTCGTACGGCAAGTGGAAGTGATATTTGAGATTGCAAAGCGCCAGCAGCTCGGGTTGATTGAAGATCATGAAGCCCTCGATGAGTAGGACATTGATTTTCTTATCGCGCAACTGCGCAGCGATCTGAGCGTTGATATTGAGACGCATTAGATGGTCCGCATGGTGCTGCCGATGCGTGTGATGTAACTGTTGATGATGTTGCTGCAACTGTTGCTGCTGATATTGATAGGCAGCAGCAGCAGCAGTAGCGGCAGGTGGCAGGTGTTTACCGTTATGCAGCTGATAGCTGGCATTGTATTGCTGTTGCTGCTGCTGCTGCTGCAATTGCTGCAACTGATGCTGCTGATGCTGGTGTTGTTGCTGCTGCTGTTGCTGTTGCTGCAACTGTTGCTGCTGTTGGTACTGCATCGCATAGTGCTCAAAGTTCGCATAGTTAGCAATCTGCTCCGTGGGCCCATTGATAATCTGCGCAATGTCCGCCAGCATTTGCTTCGTGTCCAGCGACGTGAGTAGCTCAAAGTTGATCGCATTCAACTTGTCCACGCGCTTGTGTCGTCTATCGTCCACGGGCAGGAAGTAGTCGTCCTGTGAGATCAGCTGCACATCGCCAATGGTGTAGGGCGTGTTCCACAGCGGCGCATTGCGCAATCCCTTGAAGTAGTCGCGCAGGCTGTGCGCCAGCGTCGTCTTGCCGCCACACGTGACACCCGAGATGCCAATGACCAGCCACTGCGGCATCTTGTCTCCAACTGAGCTCCAATGCGCCGCAAGCCGACAGCGAACAGTCGAAAGCCACTTGTAATCGTTCAATCACTGATAATGTCGATGTCGTCGATCCTCTTTGCTGACGTCGCACCTAAATTCGCATCATCTGCCCTTGGGGTCTTTAGGTTCGCTTCGATTGTGCCGTAATGCTCCAAATGTGATAGAAACTGAATACGGCAATGCCGCCCAGGCAGATGACCCCAAATACAGTCGGCACGATAAATGCGTATTTCAGCGGCGGAAACAGCGACAATATGGGATTACCTACAATAGAGAGAGAGAGAGAGAGATAGTGAGAAGAGTGCCAGATAAGAAACAAAAGAGAGGGAGAGTTAGCTAGTTGAGAGCAAGGTGGTCAAACGACCTTGACATTGGCCGCATGTAATTTAAGTGATAAAAGCAAAAGCACTATAGTTGGGGTATTATGGAGCATAAGATACACTGCAAACACAGTTAAGTGCACATGAGTAAGAAAATATACAAATATTTAGCTATTGCTTCCAGCTAATTGAAAGCTATGCGTAAACACAAAAAGGCAAGTGTATTCAGATTGTCTGTGCTCGGCTAGAGAATACCCTATGATGTGAACACGTGAGAGTGTGTGAGAGAAATAGAAATGGAGAGTGAGTCAAAAAGAGAAAGAGAAATAGAGCGAGGGAAAGGGAAGGAAAGAGAGCGAGATAGAGGTATAGAGAGAAATAGAGTGCAGACATAGGGAGAGATAGGTATAGAGGGAACAATTAGGATTTGAGACAGAAATGTAGAAATAGAGCATAAATTGAATTTATACTATATTATTTATTTATATTTTCTTTTTGTTTCTTCTAGGAGAGTATTCTCTTGCTTTGAAGTAAAAAGCAAAGTAAACGCAAGCTGCAGCATTCATCATGTGTGGTCAGAGGTAAGTGTGAATCGAATCTATATCAAGCCGTATCGAATTAACATAAAAATGTTTATTCGGCTCTCCTGCTCTTTATTGAATTATAAAATATCTCTTATGTTTTCAGATTAAAGCGCTTCTTCAGCTAAGTGTGTAGGACATCATTGCAAAGCAAAAACAACGCAGGATAGTATTAAGTTGCCCGAACATGTTATTATTTAAGAGATAGTATGTGTATAAATAATTGTAAAGGATAAACATGATATAATTTAAGAGATTTGTATAGGTGTAGAAATAAATAGATTTAAATAAGCAAAAACAAAAAAAAATTTGAAAAGCAATAAATAATACTTATCAATCAATATACAAACGGTTTTTCTCATTTAACAGGGTTTCTTTACTGGGAATTATTATTCAAAAATCAACGGACAAAAATATGCTCTATACCAAATATAGTTGCATAACTTAAGGGAGACTGTTATTGTGGCCGTTGGGCCTAAAATTTGAACGTCTCATTTCAAAAGTAACAGGCGAACAGAAATGAGTAGCAGAGTGAATAAGGCAAAATTTTATCTAACAGAATAATGTTATTACTCCGATAAATAACAGAATGACGATAGCACACTGTTAATGTACTGTCAATAAACATATGGCACCCTACTTCTCATTTCTGTGTGCCTGGTATTTCACCAAAATAGCTGAGCAATTCTATGAAGTACTAGGCGCACAGAAACGAGTAATAGGGTGAAAAACATTAGTTAACAGTGTATTATTAATACACTGTTACCGCACTTTTATTACTCTGTTTAATAACAGTACGGTAACAGTATAATGTTAATGTACTGCTAAAGAACAAGTTGCACCCTGCTTATAGTTTTTGTGCGCCTGGTACTTCACCAAAATAGCTGAGCAATTCCATGAAGTATTAGGTGCACAGAAACGAGTAATAGGGTGAAAGACATTAGTTAACAGTGTATGATTAATACTCTTTAACCGCACTTTTATTGCTCTGTTTAATAACAGTGGGGCAACTGTGCACTGTTACTCTACTGGTAGTGAACATTTTTCACCCAACTTCTCATTTCTGTGCGCCTGGTACTTCACCAAAATAGTTGTGCAAGTCTATGAAGTACTAGGCGCACAGAAATGAGTAATAGGGTGAAAAACATAAGTTAACAGTGTATCAGCGTAAAACAGATGATTCACTGTTGTTTAATGCTGTTAAATAACAGAGCGCTGCAAAACAGTGTAAACTAAAATTTGATTTTGTTCTTAAGACCTCCCTACTTCTGATTTCTGTTCGCCTGTTACTTCAACAAAATTTTCGTCATATTTTGCTCTCAGCAGCAACAACAGCCGATCGCTGCGGAGATAACAAATAGGAAACGACGCAGCTGATAAGCAAATCACGTTTCAGCACTTTTAGGTAAGCTAGAACTACATTCATGGTATGTTGCGATCATTTATTTACTTATTCACGAATTAATAACGCACAACTGCAACGCTCTTATTTGTTATTAAATATTATTTTTTGTACATTTTAAATTTCAAGTCTTTAGTTTTCTGCTTTCAACACAAATTCATCATACCCGTCTCATACACATTCAATAAGTTCAGGGTATCAAGGCTCACACCTTATATCATCAGCAAAAGGGCGAAATGTAAGGGAGAGCAAGGAAGATAGTGAGAGAGACTATAGGAACGGGGGTAACTGTATATATCAGCATATGTACAACATATGCATATACACATACATATATAGTTATAATTGAAACGAATCAACCGAATTTAATCTGTGCAACTTTAATTACCGCACAAAAGCCGCGAAACTGAGACGGATGGAAGCCGAGATTATTTAATAAAGCTAACAATAATATTGACACACACCCAGACATCTATATAAGTACATATGTACTGAAGTACACACACATACACATTCACATGTATTCATGTTTGTTTTGATACTCACCTTCATCGAGTATCATAAACGGCAGTATTGCCACCCAGAAGAAGTAGTAGAAGAATACGGCAATCGCGATTAGCAAAATGATTTTTCCGAGCTGCGCATTTGAAGCCATAAATAAGATGATGTAAATTAGACACGCGACCAGCGAGTAGGTTACACTCTTCCTCTTCTTTTATTTCGCTATTTAACTGCGCATGGGGTTATGCACATGCACGAGCCTGAATTACACTATTACTATTTGTTATTATAAACAGCAGTAACAACCACTACACACATAAATGTATATATGACACATGCATACGGGCTTATTAACTACAGCGTGTATGAGTGATTTGATTTGTTAATATCTTAAGTTTTTGCCGCCGTCATAAACAAACAGGTGGTGGCCACAATGTCAATTGTTAGTTGCGTGCCGCCTATGTATACACATACATTTATTTATTTATACATATACATATGTGTATGCACGCACAAGTGTAGGTTTATTCTTGGTATCTCGGCATGTGTGTTTTTGGCCAACGCGAAATATTCAAGAGTTTTTTCACACTGCGCACTTTTGTTATTCTTACGTAAATGCAGCTAGCTTTGCTGTGTTGAGTGCACTTTGTCTTAGTTTAACCAGTGTTTGGTTGCTTTAGTTAACTTTCAACGGTAAAATATGCATCCAGTCTAGCGCATAACTGTGTCCGGCGATTGCGCGTATTTAGTTATAAACAAAATGCCAGGGCTATACAAATTATATCGATGAGGCTAAGATATCGCTATATCGCAATAGCATTTTGAATCTGAATGGTATCGATCAATGCTAGTTATGTACTTGGTATCGTTTTAAGATGAAGTGTGCGACCAATCAAATTGGAATTAAAAACTAAATTGGCTCTTGAATATAGTAATATATTGTTATCATGATATAATCAAATATAAACTGTTTCTAAAGTTTCGTTTATTTCTATCCACCGTTCAATCGAAATATTTCCAAAAGTTTTAGCGGCCCTGTGGTCAGAACTTTATTATTTGGAATCAAAGGGACGAAGCGCGCGCCAACCACTGGGATCTAAGAACAGGGATGTAATTTAAATATAATAAACATATCAGGTATGTATATACATTGCTAATCGCATTCAAACATTCCTCAAATCTGTAACACCTTCACTCAGCTAACAGTTGTCGTGGCAACCAGACGAATAACAGAAAACAGATGATCGAGTATATTATAAATATTTGTGATACGTTTTATGTAATTAAATAATGACGCGCTCCGTGTACGAGGTGCAACAGGACTTTGCACTGAGCAGTGGACTACACTCTGAAATAATTTGGGATGCGTAAGCTAATGAAATATATATGTAACATGCACTTCATTTATTTTTCTGCAGCCTTGCAGCAGATCAAGAGGAGGTGCTCAAGCAGAAGATTGCGAACCTCATCAATGCAGATAGCACAGAGCCAAGCAAAAGTTTGGAGCGACAGCGACAGAAGGTCTTTGAGAATGTGTGGCAACAGAGGCGCTATACAAATCGCATGTTACTTTCGGCGATCATCTACGTGCTGGTGACACCAGAAAAGGATCCAGAGCAGGCGCTACGATCCACCAATTTCAGCTGTCATCCTGTAATACGGACGCGCAAATGCTTGAGAGAGGATTACGAGAATAGCGACAACTGCTGCATGATCTTCATCGATGAGCATGGTCGTGTTTATGCGAACTGGCGGCAATATGTCTTCCACAACAGACTACCCAAGGGCACAATGATTGCCCCCAGCCAGGGCATCTATCGATTCGGCCATGATCCCGATAATGGAGTACATCTAATGGTCCATGCGACGCCTGCATCGTTTGGTCTCATATATAAAGCTGGCGATGCCTTGGCTACAGTTGGTGGATTGGCTGCCAGTGTGCCCGTGGCGGCTGCTCTGGCTGTCCCCGTGGCTCCCCCTATTTTGATGGCAGCCGCCGTTGTGGGCGCCACTGCGGCTGCTTACAGTACCGCACGTTCTATCAGTTGCCTTTATGATCGCCGCCAACACTGTCAATCTCTGTCGCTGCGTGAGCGAGAATCACGTAACAGCTGGCTGGGCGTAGCTGGCGGCGTCGTCGGCCTGGGTGCCATGGAAGCCACCACAGCTCTGTGTGCGGCGAGCGCAGAGGTGAATGCAGCTGCTCAGCTRGCCGTGAAGGGCATCAATGTGTCGTCCATCGTTATATCGGGCACAGGTGTGGCCAACAGCGTTTACGATTTGTATTTGGTGAGTCATGCGTTGATGTCATCTTATCTATTATACATACATTGTTTGTCTGCCTACGTATATATAATTATGTTATACATTTAATCTGGTATACACTGTTATATGTGCATGCATTTTACTCTGTTATAAAGTCTGCTCTGTTATTTACATTGTGCAGAATAGCGTCTGGTTACAGTTCACTGTTAAGTTGTGAGTTCTTAGCATTCTACAGTGGCTTCGTGTTAACTATTCTTCGGTTCTCTCATTTGCAGAAAATCAACGAGGACCAACCTCTATGCAGCATCGATGTGCTCCACATAGCCGCCAGTCTGCTGATCTTTACGCACTCCATTAACAATCTGCGCCTAGTCAATCGTTTGACAAATGGTCAATCCTTGAGGCAAGCGGTGAACCAGCAAGCCAGGTTGTTGTGTAAACCATACAATCAAACCAAATGTCTTTTATTAACAAGATTAAATTGCTTGCAGACTAACCTTTGGACAGATCGCTAAGGAGTCGTCGAAGCTGAATGGCCATGTTCCTGGCCAGCATTTCGACATGGTGCGCACCCTGAATGATATACCCATTAAGGAGACACTGCTAGGTCTGCACAACTCGTACAAGCATTTGCGGGAAGGTGCAGCCACGCTAGCTTCCATAGCAGGAACGCTGATCAGTCGGGATAGCGAAGGTCAGCTGCATTTGAATGTGGATTCCGTCGGCAAATCCCTTGGCCCGAAGTTTGTGGAGCACATTGGCCATCAGAGCAGTTTATTGGATGTGCTGAATGCTCTGGTGAAATACTTCGACGGGCCAGCGATGCAGCTGCTCCTACAGCTGGCACGTGAATTTCTGGAGAATAATCTCGATAGCATTGAGCGTGGACTGAACACGTTTCTATCCACGGAATTGGTGCTCTATCACATTTTGATGCAGTGCATCAATAATTACGAAAATCTTACATTGGAATTCTTATTGGAGCGGAAAGATGAAATCTTATCCATTCTTACAAAATATTTCGAGGGATTGAGGCCCAAGGACGAGCATAGCTCTACCAAGACGAAGTGTGATAATTGTCAAGGTGTTTACTATACATGTAATCTCTAATTTATATTGTTTATAAAAATATATTTTGAATATATTTTGACTATACTTGGACTATTTGCTAGTGGTTCAGATTAAGCTTCAGTAGGTTTTTTTCGGAGTCCTGGAACGCCTATCGATTGCTAACAGCCCTATTAATTTTGTTTATATTAATTAATCGGAACTGAACAGTTTTGTGTGTGCAGCCCTTGCAACTGGTTCATGAGCCAGTTGTGTTCTTTATTCAAATTTTTATCGACAACTGCAAATTACAATTCGAAATTGTTCGCCAAGGCAGCTGGGCTTTACTTTGTCCATACGACTAATGTCCGAGATCTGCATTTCTTTGGAGCTGTTATTGAACAATATGGTTCCCTCATAAGTGGAAAGCGTGGGTGCCATCATAACCTGTATACGATGGAGGGAAATGCCTGACCTATCCGCTTTATGAGGCCTCCCCAAATAGGCTTTCGTGATGTTAGCCAAAGTAAGGGGCTGGCAGCGACCGGCGAATTTCCTACTCGCATAGCTATCATACCTATTATTCACATGCTGCACCATCAGGGCGGCCATTAAGTAATCCCTCTCCAAAAATCTTTTGTATCTATTGTACGATCTGCAGGCACACCAATGATCCGAGATGCCAGCATCCGAGCAGGTTCGATTGCTGGAAATTGGCAGAAAGACGCTCTGGCAATTGGGGCAGTCCAGGGAGTCGCCCAGCAGCTCGTCTAAATGATTCTGACTCCCTATGCGGAGTATGTGCTTCAATGTGGCATACAAATCATATGGACTTGTCAAACGTTTCCGATTCACTTTCAAAGCCTTCACAAATTCTGGATGGGATTCTTGCAGATGAAGCGGCAGCCATATGTATAGGAACGGCAAACGATCCTCCAGCCAACCAAGCGGTGTCTGCCATGTCGGACCGGCCCTTAAACCATGATCACTTAGAAAGATCACAATGCTCCGATTYAGAATGCCGTGATTCCGCAAACGGCTGAGGTACTCGAGCATATACTCATCCCTGAGAGCGGTGCGGGAGATGCTGTCCCCTTGGCTATGCATATTCGTCCAGAACAAGCCGAAGAAGCTGTCGTTGAGGTAGCGACGTGCGAATTCCAGAGCATACTCATAAACATGCTCCGCCGAAGGACGGAAGCCCAGACAAGTTTGAGAGTCCTCAGTTTTAACGTGCAGCCACTGATTGGCCGCCATCAGATACGGATGCAGATGGTAATCCACGGACGCATCGCGAAAGCCCTTCAAGTTCGGATTGAATGTGTTGTTGAGGGTCTCGTCCTCTCCGAAGGCCGTCACATAGCCCAACTGCTTGTAGAGCTTCCAGATGAATTTACAGCGCTCCAATCCGAGCTCCTCGCGTGGATCGCAGAAGGAGATGGCGCTGGTACGATTGTAGCCGGTGGTTAGAGCTAGCAAATTGGGCACTGTATTGCCTGCCACCTAGAAGGTAGTAAAGAAGCTAATGACATCTCTCTCCCTCTTGCCCTCCCTCTCTCACTCTCTCTCTCTCTCTCTCTCTCTCTCTCTCTCTCTATCTTCCCCAATTCCTTTGCTCACCTTGTTGTAGCCTGCCAGTTCGAACCAGCCACTGGAATCGAGCTGCTGCTTGGTCATGGGCATTGCACGGATCAGCTGCTGGCGGGAGATGCTGTCCAAGCCAATCAGGAGCACACTGAGCGCTGGCTGTTCGCCTCCACGTTGATCTGCCCACTGCGTCAGGCGCTCCCGTACCTCTCGCTGCTCGGGCACAGTCGCATGTGCATTCGTATAGATGCGCTTGCCTTGCGCATAGCAACGCACGATGAAACCAATTGTCGAATCGGGCAGCTGGGCGCCACTGGCAAACTGCTGGCAATGCTTGCCGAAGTCAATGAGCTCAGCTTGCCGTTCCACGGCCATGTAGCAACATTTGGGCGGCCCGGACAAGGGAACTGTCAGATCCAGGTCCAACTTCAAGTACTCCTTGAAGCCATCCCAATTGACGTACAGTTGATAGCGCCGCACGCTCTCGTTGTATGCCACCCAAGTCAGAGGCTGCAGGGCAGAGCAGCGGTTATACTTGTAGCGCACGAAATTCTTCTTCACCTCCGCATCGAAGGGATCCGCATCTTCGATCTTACACGTGGTCGAACTTACAATGTATTTCTTACTTCCCAATGCAACGCTCTGCAGAAACGAGAGCCAGAGAATTACATTCAAAAAGACTTTCGCATTCCACATAGTTGTTAGCCCGGCGGCTGCAGCCAGTACAGTGAAGCTTCGAGCATGGCATGTGGAGCTTTTGAAATACGTAAGGTAGTTGCAGCTGTTCGAGCCACTTGCATTTCACAGAATTGCAATCGATCAGCTTTGATTATTACATAATAGAAGAAGAAGAGGAGGAGGAAGAAGCAGAACATATGTATGTTATAGGCTTGACCAACAAGATAAGGGAGTGAGAGTGAGAGTGCCCGAGCGAGTGAGAGTGAGAGTGCCCGAGCGAATGAGAGTGAGAGTGAGAATCACAGAGCGAGTGAGAGTGAGAATAAGAGAGTAAGAAATTGAAAGAGAGAGCGAGAGAGACAGAGAATTATATATCTGAATATGGATATGGAGAGCGATGATTGTAAGAGTAAAAATCAATATGAGTAAAAAAGTGAAACAGAGAGAGAGAGGGAGAGAGAGAGAGAGGCGCAAACGTTTGTATATCTCACAGAGTCAAACTTTTCAGAATGCAAACACAGAAGTTTCTAGTTGTTATATATAGAAATATAAATATATATATATTTATTATACGATACATATTAAAGATAAACTTAGAGCTTAATACTTGATAGATTGTTCTACTCTGTAATACTGTGGCAAGACGAGCTGCCCCGCTACGAGGATCAGCCATATAAGGTACCTACTCTATAAGAGTGAGAGCGCGACTAAAGATCATATTTCTGAATATGTCTTTGATAAGGACGGAATCTGTTGCTGACTAGCGATGCCTCCGTGATGGGGCAACATTTAGCAGAAGAAATCCTCGTTGCAGCGATTGAAGCAACAGTAGGAGATGTTGTTGTAGCTCTTGTCCGAACTGTCGCGCTTATGGCGCTTTTCCTGATTGTGCTTGAGCGGCTTGTATCGGGGCAGTACATCCAGATGGATGAGTCGGTGATAATGATCGCTGCTGACCTTCAAGTAGCCCCCAGTTGGAAAGCTGCTGCGCTTGACGCCATGTGGCGTCTTCTTATCCATCTTGCCATCTGCAAAGGGCAGAGAGAAGAATAAAAATAAATTATTTTGAAATTTATTACATTTACATTTCAACTTGAACTTGCGCCTTGAAATCGTGTAAGACTGCGCTTTGTTTAAATATTAAATATTTTAAATATTTTTATTGATTTTTTATAGTTTTTGTAAACATTTCCGAGTTCGTCTTCCTTTTGACTCTGGGTTGACTGACTTTGTGACCTTATTAAATATGCATTTCATACTAAATTGAGATATACATATATGTTTATACTTACGTGAAAGCTTATTTTTATGATGCCAGCTGGAGTCTATGGACCGTCTCTCTCTGGGCTCGTCCTTCTGGAACAGACGCTCGCAGGCCTCCATGGCAAATGCTTTCATCTTGTCCAGCGAGCAATAGGCACGCGTCTCACTTAGCAGACAGCTACCCAGGATTAGGGCGAACAACATTAGCTGCAAGGGAAAGAACATAAATAAGATGATAAGAAAATGTGAAAAATATATCTCAATGAGTATCTGCATCGCCAGTTGTATAAAATCTATCTGTATCTATCTAKCTCAACCGATATCTAAGTCTCTAATTGTAGCTGTAATAGCAACTTTAGCTGTAGCTCTAACTGTATCTGCATCTTAAATCGGCAGCTGCACCTCTAATTGTATCTACATCTCGCATTGTATCTATATCTCTAAGTGTATCTGCATCTCATACCTGAGTACGCACATATGTATCTGAGATTGCATATGCATTTATAAGCAAACAGCTTTGACTGACGACAGCCGACGACGCGTCGTGACGCCGCTGTCCTTGTCGGCTTGATGGTTTGGGGCCAACAAACTGGGTCACAAGTCGGGCACAAAAATCTTTAAAAACTGGAGCGCATTTGCAAGTCGTCGCAGCCAAATTGCCCGTTTTAATGTGCGAAAACTTCCCCGACTTCCCCGACACACAGAGTTATAATGGGAATTATGTAATAAGCATTTCCGCATTGGGCTTATGCTTATTTTATTTCTTACAGAGAACAAAAGCGCATTTGCTTGACATTTATTTTTAGCACCATACAGGTGATATTGCTACCTGTCGACAGGTTTGCATGGTACACACCCCTCTTTGAGCGGCAATCGATAAAACGGCAATAAAAAATATTTAGCATCCATTAAATGAGTTTCAATATTTATGCTGTAAATTTCCCACCATTCCCAGACATGTTGCACAAAACACTGGGAAATTTGCAACATAAACTTTTGAAATTGTCTTCTCAGGGATTTTTAAACGACTTGAAATAAACAACATTTTAACATTTTATTGCAACTCACCTTAACGTGCATTGTTGTTGCTATAGATTGTGTATTTTATTATATTTTTTTTATTTTTAAATATTGTTTTTAATTAATTCCAATTGGTATTTGTAAAATTGTCTTATATGCACTTGCACCTGCCCCACTGGCAAACGCGACGTATACGTGTTATTTTTGTAAGTGTTTCTTTTTGGCGGCAAAGCGAAATCAAACGAAAAACAACCACCGACCCGTCACCTGATAAGCTGCGAACTCAAATGAAAGCTTCGCCCAATGCTGTTAGCTTTTATACGTATGCAAATACAGGGGCCGAGCCAGAGCCAGAGCCAGAGCGCAGGAGCAGCAGCAGCAACAACATCAACAGCAGCGTCGCGTTCTCTGGGTAGGAGGTAGGTAAAGAGAGCAGCGCTCGCTTCGCGAACGTACGCATGCGTAAGCGAAAAGGCGCGCCGGCGCCGCAACAACAACAAAAGCAACAACCACACATTGTGCTTAGAACTGAACCGACGTCAGACAAGAAAGGATGCCAATTAACTGCATAATTTCCCATCATTCTTTTTTTTTTTAAGGGAATTTTTTAGGAAATGCCAATGTTATTTCAACATAATTGCCTTTTCCCATCTTAGCGTTTTCGTTTGTTTAGGAAATGCCAAGGCTGCTTTGGCGTTGATTCATGCGTAGCTTTTACTGTTGCTGGTGCTGATAAAGTGCTAACAACGTGTGCCGGCGCCAATAAATCAAACACCTTGAACATGTAATATTATTTAATAATAATGTAATGAGGAAGCCGGCGCTGTTCGCGGCCAACCTGCCTTGGCCCCAGCGCGACAGAGAAAGTGAGCAGCAGCGCGTGGCTAGCTCTTAGCTACCCCATTTACCTGATCTACCTTGTTGCTAGGGGGATTCCGTTACCACGCACGCTCTCTGGTGAAATATGCGTATCTGTGTATATGTGTATGTGGGTGTGTGCGTGTGTGTACGTCGGTTTTTGTGTATTTAAGCATTTCATTCATAAACATTTTATGGTTAGCATATCAACGTCACAAGCGTTACGCCTGCGCACACTCGTGAGTTCGTTACAAACATCTATATATGTATGTACATTCATATACATTTTTGCGGCTGCGCTTTGCTCACACACAAATATACTCATGCATGTATAGCACTTGCACTTGTTTGGGTAATAGTACTTTCCCATAGTATGGCAAAAGTCCCAGCCGGGCAAGGCCAACAACAACTCACAATGCATAATTTCCCTCTCATCTCAATTGCGCTCTCGTTTTTGCTTACACGTGCGTCTGGTGTTTACGTTTTCTCAACTGGTGTGCAACGCTAAGTTAACTATCTGTGAGAGGCATAATATACACAAATGTATTTATATAGTTGTATACTTTTTTTAATGCACTTATAATAATCTTTATATATAATACTTAGCCAATATCGCTCTAATGAGTTGAATGCTTTTTTTATACCCTGAACCCATTGAAAATGGGAAATCAGGGTATAATGGTTTTGTTGAAATGTATGTAACAGGCAGAAGGAGGCGTGGCAGACCCCACAAAGTATATATATTCTTGATCAGGGTGACGAGCTGAGTTGATTTGGCCCTGTCCGTCTGTCTGTCTGTCCGTCTGTCCGTCTGTCCGT